TAAACAATGCTGAAAATATTTTTTTTCTAGTGAACCCAGCACAAAGAAAATAAAGCAACTAAAACCAGGTTGACAGAGAGGGATGCGGGGAGGAATGGATGGAGGAAGGAAGAAAGTGGGGGAAAGGAAAAGATATAGACCGAGAGAGAAAGAGTATAAAAGGTGTTGACCTATATTAAGAATGGTGGGCAGGATTGATATATTACAGCTTAACTCTTTATTCCTAAGAGTTTACACACATGCAGAAATAAACACAATATGAGACTGACTGGTCATTGCTGGGTGGTACCCTAAGCCATCCATCCTGGAGAGGGAGGCGGGCTCACTCTCTGACCGTACGGAAGTGTATTGCGAGGCTGAGCGTGAGAGGTCAAAATGGGTCAGACTTATCTGACCCTAGCAGGCAGAAGTCTGACTGTGCTTGGCATGGGTCTAGCAACACCCACATGGTGTCACCCCTTGGTTCAGTCTGTGAGCTTGCATGATGTATTATGTAATACAGTATGTTATAACTGTTCGGCCACCTAGTTATAATATACTGCATAAAATGCATCATGCAAGGTCACAGACTGTACCGTGTGGGTGATGCTAGATCCATGCCAAACACGGTCAGGCTTCAGCCTGCCAGTGTCAGATTTGAGGCTGACCTAGTTTGATTCTCACACACTCAGACTCTCACTACACTTCTGTACAGTCAAGAGATTGACCCAGCCTCTCCACTTACTGCTACCCGCACCAACTCCCTCTCCAAGTTGGACGGCTGTGGGTACCACCCAGCACTGACCAGTCTCATATCATATTTCTACTTGTGTGTAAACTTTTAGGAATTAAAGAGTTAAGCCTTCATAGTAATATCAATCCTGCCCACCATTCTTAATATTTGTAATACCATTTATAGCTGGTGGCAGCGGTGGGATGGTCTGTGAGCTTTCACAATGTATTGTTATGTAGTATGTTATAGATAGAGAAAAAGACAGTGACGAGAGATAGAGTGTAACATACCATATTCAAGCTTGTATTAGTCCAAATGATGTGGCCACATGCAATAAGTCATCATTCTACTTGGACAACATGCTCCTCTTGTGATAAGACCCAAACCACACTTCCATCGCTTCGGCCTGCCAGGGACACTGTCCCGTTGACCCTCCCCAACTTAGACTCACACTACACTTCCATTCGGGGACCCTGCTTCCTTACGCTACCGCCGCCCGCGCCACCGGCCTGCATTGAGTAGTCTCGCTCGGATCGTGCTAATTTCTACTCGTGTGTAAATTCTTAGGAATACAAACCAACCGCAATCAAGCATATTACTCTGCCCACTAGTATGTACATAAAAGGTTAAATACCTTTTAGAGAGAGAGAGAGAAAGAGAGACTGAGTGAGAGAGAAAGAGGGAGGAGAGGGGAGAGAGAGAGGGAGGAAGGGAAGAATATATATATATATATATATATATATATATATTATATATATATATATATATATGTTATATATATATTATGTATATATATATGTATATAATATATATGTATATATATATGTATATATATATAT